TGCCAATGAATCTATCCACATTCCGGAGACTCTACCCCCATTGCCAAATCGATTAACGCCACATTTCTAAGAATCTGTTGTGTACTATGTACGCCTCAGCATTTAACCTAGCTTCTAATGACTTGCAGGCCTACTGTGGTTTCAGCGATCTACTTGCTCCCTACCGCTGCCTGCCCAAGGTTGTGGTCAGTGGTAACTGGGGTTGCGGCGCTTTTAACGGAGACAAGGAGCTTAAATGTAAGTGTAGCGTGGGCCAGTGTTTGTCTTTTAAATTCCTCCATACCTTGAATATGCACTAGGCTAGTCGCTACTAAGTGCTTACTTGCTGGCTGTGCTTTCCTGGGCATGGAGCTTTGTCAATTCAATAATGTTTTGACCCAATTGTTTTGCTTTTGTGCAGGTTTGATTCAACTGATGGCTTGTGCACAGGCAGGAAAATCCCTGGCCTACTGCACCTTCTGCAACGAGGCGTTCGCTGCGGATGCTCTTGAGGTCTTCCAGCGTCTCTGTTCCAGTGGTTGCACCGTGGGTATGTCGACATTTTGCTTGTAATCGGTGAACTCTGCGCCTCCTAATCACGAATACCTCTGTTTTTTCTACTAAAGTTTTAGTAGTGTTTTGTACTTGGAGTTAGTTGAAATCAATCTGCTCCTAATTAAGTGTGCTACTGTTAGATTAGCAGTACATGATAACTCAGTTTATGTATTGACCGCCCCTCAGCTCTGTGTAATGATTGTCGCCAAATGCAATTAATAATTAAGAACATATATAATCAAATTGTTTGAACATGTGTTTAGGTCAATTGTGGGGGATATTGTCGAGAGTGGATCCTGAAAGTTATGCACCTCGACTTCCAAGCGTCTTCCAAATCGTGCTAACAGAACTTTCTGGTGGAGCAACGACACGCGAGAGTCGGTGACGCTGGAAGATTTGATTTAATTTTTACTCCTAATTTTTTATCTGTTGGTTTAAGTAATACACATTTTGGCCATCGCGGTAGCTGGCATTCAGATATCTTCTTTTCTTATTTTTGAAAACGGTTGATCTGCCTGCGTGCCTTACCACTTAGCACGTATGTTATCTGCTGTTCCTGAAGTTTGATGTAACCAGAAGCCAAATTGACATTAATCGGTGCGACCACTTCGGAATCATTTGTGACATTAATTCAGTCAACAAGTGTGCATTTCACTAGAAGTAGTACTAAATAGGTGAAATTGGGTTATAAAGATTATTCTGAAAGGTAAAAGGTGAATTTCGGCAGACGGAAAACAAAAAGTGATTGGCGACATGTTGTCAAAAACAAAAATCATTTAACAAAAAAGCCCACTACAAATAATTTCAGAAGGTAATTTTTTTTCTACAACGAAAAGGCGGTTCTGAGAAAAATGAATGTTTGGGAACATTTTTTTCGAGTCAATGCACTTTAAATTTAATCATAGTGGAAAATTCTATATGGACAGCATAACCAACGCAAATATGTCTTATTGGTGGCTTGAAAATTCTTTGCCTAAGTTTGAATTACCATTTTTAACTTCAATGTCGCAACTTGTTATAGAAATGGCAATGTTCGAAGTCTCAATCATCCATAGTTAAGCAACTTTTGAGGATGTACAACAAAGATTTAGACTACAATTTTGAGTTGAATAACAACTCAAAACAATAAGTTAATTGGAGGAGTTTTCGTTCGTGGTGGGCGTGGTAAGCCTACTCTGTTTACAGACCCGTCTGTTCACAATCGTTCTTTTCTTTTATCCATCATCATGTAAGCTTGTTGGCAGAATTTTTACGTGACTGAAACTCTTGCCTTAGGCACATACACTCAAGTGTGACTGAGAATACTTGTGTTGCTTTTACTACAGGTCAATTTTTTTTATACTTAATCGATGTTACTTAAAAATTATGTGAATGCTGTACATTTTATTGATGTCAAAATATAGGATTATCATATTTAATAATCAAGTTTAGTATCGAAAAACGCAGAATCTTTTGATTTCGTGAAAGTTGCTTTTTTTACGTGAGACTACCACTCGCATATTCGATGGCGTTTCTCTCTGCACTGTTACTTATATCGTTTGCGTGTCGTCATATTGGCCCTTCGTTTCAATTTTTTGCTAGCACAATTTTAACAACTTTCTCTTTACTGTTTTGTTAGTGGCATGGCTTCTATTGGCCTCTACCGTGTAAGCCACAAAATGTCAATGCCCCTCTTTTCTTCGATCGCGCGTCATGTCAACATTAAATCTTGGCCAACTCTTGACAATCCGTGGAGAGAGAGGCTCGATGTAAGCAAAAAGGGGACATTCCCGCCAAATTATGTGGTGTCAAAAGAAGAATTTAAGTTTGTTGAGATGTTGAAGCCCGCAGATCTTATTCCTCCGCCTCCTGCCGGCGTTGATGTAACACCCAGTGGATGGGTTCCTCCTAGACGTAAGTTGTGGCGGTGGTGATGGTACAACCTGAGTGGGTTTGCGCAGTTTCGGACTATTTTTCTGTCCCAGGTTTCACCAAGCTCTGAGTCATGATAATCAGGTTATATCGACGCACACTTTGTGCTCCTGAACAGCTAGTTCAGCAATACTGGTTCGGATCTTGGCTTCTGTTTCGGCATTTGTCATTCACAATGACTCTAAACATCGGTATCCACTGAAGTCAACTCACCCCTAGAAACCGCGACATTGTCCATTTACTATGGGCAAACATTCTGTCATGCTTGGCTCTGTGCATATTCGACACGGCTTTATCACAGTCGCATAGTCTTGCAGTGGTGATGGTATTGTGTAAATTTTTACCCAACATAGCCTTAACTTATATTCGCAATGGTGTTCTCCGTTGTTTTGCTTAATTGCCTAAACGTCATAGCCACTAACCCTGTTCTTGCCCTATTTATCCAAGTCTTTAGCATTTAATCATTATGAGCTTTCGGGGTTCAATTCGTCAGTACTTTTTAAACACAAAATTGAAGGCCCCACCCAACCAAAAGTGCTTGATTTATACTGTTTGGTGAGTTCTAATACTAGATTGAGTGCTCTAAAGAATAGATAGCTTACTCACGCCAAAACATGAAATTAATCAACGTTATTACTTGTTTCAGTCCCATTGTTGCAGAACTAATCTCAAGTAAGGCCGCATTTTCAGTCATGTGAACAAGGAAATGAGTTTCCGTTTCTCGGCAGTGCTTCAGCCAGCTGGAGTCGTAAACTGATATGTTACTTTTCAAACTGTCGATCGATGCTTATCAATAGTAGATATCTTTGTGGCAGACCACGGGGTTACAGTAAAATTGATGACGATTGGTTGGTCGAACTAACCAATCCGGGAATTGTATTTAAAGCAGCATTTTGGCCAACCAAAAACGCCGGGGCTTTCATCTCAGTGTAGCAATGTGGTGTTAGGTTATCCGTAATCGCTAACCTTACGGTTTTCGGTTTTGTTTTCAGCCGAGCTATCATCAAAGAAACCCTACACAGTGACTCGCTCCCGCAACCACATGCTTCCTGTCTACCTTCATCAGAAGGGAAGGAAACGACGCGAACAGACCCACGGCACACGAATGCTGACTGTCATTACTAAAGTCGGTGGTGACATGTGGGTGAGTCCCCTTGCATATTCTTTCACAACCAAACTACTTATTTATTTTAAGTAGAAGTGATTTTGTCTGCATGGAATGTGCGCGCGAAAGTCAATTTGCCTCTTTTAGGCCCTGGCAAGTGATTTGGAGGCCCTTTTGAAACCAAAGTGCGAGGCTGGCCAGTTTCTGTGTCAGGTTGATGAAGCAACCCAAAAGATAATAATTGACGGCATATTCCTGGAGGAAGTCGCGGCTTTTCTTTTGGAAAATGGATTTTAGTGCCAGTGATCTGTGTAGATGTTTGTCTTCAGTGTACATACGATCGAACTTTGCAGCCTACTTCTCGTTCTTTTTTTCCATTTCCATTGATGGCCATTTCCTTATTCGTACACTGCCTCATGTAAGTCGCTAATTTGTTGTGCACGAACGCGAGGGCACTTTGTGCCACTTGGAAAAAGTGCTTTGTTTCCCTCAAGTTTACCGCGCAGTTAGGATTAGTGGTTTCGTGTGTGCGGTAGAGATTATCGTGGAGTTTTAGTGAATTTTTATTGGTTAAGCCAGTGGGATATAAGAATAAGCCGTGGGGCGCGGAATTCGGCGACCTTTCAAATGGGTCTGGCTAACAAGTGTAAATTGGGGAAACTGACATTAATTTATTGATTCCGTGGAGGTGCATTTTTGGCCCAATTCGCTCTCTGATTTGTCAAATGGACTTCGAGAAGGCGGTCGGTCACTTGGGACTTGTGAGTTTTAGTGCTCGTCCAATTAATTAGCACTTCGAGGTCACGCAAGGCAGTGACCTTAACAAAATGAATTAGTGATCTGGGACTAATTAGCCATCTCCACGTCGGAGAAAAACCAATCAATCTAGTTGGAATTTTTCTAGCGTAATTGCTGTCACCGGTTGCTAACGCCGACTCGTAGTCACCACAACGTCCAATG